AATGTTCATGGAAGTCTCAGCATAGTTTTATTATTCTCAGCGTTTTAGTAAAATAAATATTGCAGTTTATGGTATGTGATGTTATATTTGTACTGGAAGCTTAGTATTTTTATACAGATTTTTAATATAAAAACAGTATTATTTAGTAAACAACAGTTTGGAAACTGTTATTTTATATTATATTTTACTGTATTTCCATTTTACTTGCCTATTTTGTCTAAAAGAAGGTAATTTTTTGAGTTAGTTCGGAGTAAATGCAAAAGTAGATATATTATAATATCATGGATTCTTCAGTTACGTAATCCAGTGTATGCACGTGTATTTTGGGGTGAATCACTGTAGCCATGGTGGTAAAAATAACATTCGCTCTTGTTTTAATGAAAGATTAGCAAAATGATAGAAACTGCAATAGAAAGTTGGAGGCTGAACTCCATCTGACTCCTATTCACGCACACACATCGTGTTATACGAAGTGACAAACATCATCCAAACATGTCATTCTGGAGAGAATACGCCTTTGTTGGAGAGATGTGACAGAGCTTTATCTGTTCACAGTGACGATTTTCTGTAGACTGACAGCTCTGGCGCTATTTTACAGCTTGCTGCGTGTGTTTTCGCAAGACGTGACGACTTAAATCTATACAATGAATGAAATAACGCCTCCATAATCCAAACGATGTATATTAATACAACTTTTTCCATTTAATAAATCGTACTTTTTAATTAAAAAATAAATCAGTTGTGTCCCCAGGAAATAATTCCTCGGGTGGTTCTGGGAGGCCATTCTTCAACTGAAAGCCTCGTAAAGACCTCCAGAGAGCAATATGTATGGAGAGTGCGAGAACTACCAAGAAAAGATTACATGTCCATTGTCAGCTCTTAATAATTTGGCTTTCTGAAAGACCAAATAGTTTGTCAATGGTTTCTTTTATAACACACCTCACTGCCTTCGCCGCACACTAGTTAAATCCCTCTTTTGTCTGTCTGTCACACACTATTAATAATGTCTCTCTCCAAAACACACACATAGAAAGCGACAGAAAGCGAGCGGGAGAGAGAGAGAGAGACCTTGTCTACTGTACTGAGAGTGTGTGCATTGTACGTTTGAATAGATATTGAACCATAACACAATAAAACTAGTTTAATGTGTCTGGTAAAACAGTGTTAATCATGTGGAACTGCAATGAAGGGAGGAAATTGAGGTGATGCTGTGGCCCAGTGACCAATCAGCTCCTGACCTCAGTCCCACAGAGACGGTCATAACCTGGACGGATTTAGGTTAAACTACAGATCCGTCATTTAGAAAGACAGAGACTTGTCTTATCCCTCCCAAGCCAATGTATGTGTGTGCACAGGAAGCTACCAATATAACCCTCTGCCACTGCCACACCAGCAGAGCATGTAAGCCAAACCGCACCAATAAACTTCAATGTTTTACATCAGTGTCCTTTTATAACCTCAGACAAGTGGAAAATGCATTCTGTCTGTCTCCTTGATGCTTTTTTACCCTGGCAGAGTGAATATTTGATTCACGCAAGGCTTTCTTAAAGGGACAGTTCACCTAAAATCAAAGTTCTGTCATCATTTACTTGCCCTCATGTCATTCCAAAACTGCGTTCTTAAAAAAATTGGGTTTTTAAAGGTGGTTTTTGCAGCAATGCCATAGAAGAACCAGTGTGAAGAACATTTTGTTAATCTAAAGAACCTTTTCCCCCTATAAAGAACCTTTTGTGGAATGAAAATGTTAAAAGTTCTTCATCAATGCCAATAAAGAGCCTTTCTTTTTTTTAAGAGTGTGTATGACTTTGAGGAACACAAAACAAGATATTTTGAAGAATGTTGAGGTCCAAAAAACATTGAAACCCATTGGCTTTCATTGTATGGACAAATTTTGTGTACGGTCTATTGGTTTTAGTGAGTTAATGATGACTGAATTTTTGAGTAAACTATCCTTTTCACTCTTGAAATTAAAAGTCCAAAAGAGTGTTTTTGCAACAGTGCCTTAGAAGAACCATTTCGGGTTCCCCAACGAATCGTTTTCTTTCACTCTTAAAAATAAAGACTCTTTATCGGCATCTGTGGTGTCATGAAGAACCGATAACATCCATGGAAACTTTCCATTGACACTGGTTCTTTATGGTGAAAAAAGGTTCTTCAGATTGTTGAAATGCTCAAAAAATAACTGTTTCTTTGAAGAACTGTTCCCTGAAAGGCCATGAAAGCCCGTTTACAATCTTGAAAATAAACGTTCTTTATTGGCATCAATTCATGGAACCTTTCCAAATCACAAAATGATCTTTATAGTGGAAAAGAAGGTTCTTTAGATTAAATCTTTACTAAGAAAAAAGGATGTTTCTTTTAAGAATTGTTCACTAAAAGGTTGGGGAACCTAAAATGGTTCTTCTATGGCATCATTGCGAAAACCCTCTTTTGGAAACTTTATTTTTAAGAGTGTCGTATGAAGAATATTTTAACAATCTGAAGAACCTGTGCGATGGAAAGTTTCCATTAATTTTAAAGCTTCTGCTTGGAACCACTGATGCCACTGGTGCTTTCTTCTAAAAAGAAATCCAAATCAGTCCAGTGAAGAAGTTTGTATCAAGCTGATCTAATTCATATACTCTGTATTCCGCTTTGCTTCTCACTAATTTATACAATGGGATGCTTAAATACACGGTGACTGGGGACTTTAAAGTGCATGGTACTGTAAAATGTTATTGAATTGCTGCTGTCCTGAGAAAGCCTCTAATCTCAAAGGGTCTAAAATAGCAATCTTCCGAGAGACAGAAAGAATAACGGTTGTCAGGATGAAAATTTAGGGCGTCTCAAGCCATTGTTTGCTTTACCGCAGATTTTAGGCTCCTTAAAGACATAAAGGGCATCTGACACAACTGTCAAGCTCATAAACAGGCGGTCTGCCTCTGCAACACCGTCCAGTGCTTGAGGAGAAAAACTTTGTCCTGAACACACTTCACTATTCCAAAAAACACAAACGTCTCATTTGAGCATAACTTCTGACCGACTGTAAATTCACAGCGGACTTTTATAATGTTGGCACGTTTCGAAGGCAAAAGCTTTCTTTGCTGCTTTGCGTGAAATGCCGCTGCATTTCTAATAAAAACGAAAAGCTGAACTGTAACAGCATGTTTACCGTTACAATATTTAGGCTGTAATGACAGGTGGACTTCTTTGGTTACTGGCCGGATATCAAGTCATGTCGAGTTGATTTATTCCACCCTTTGGTGAATCAGATTGTGCCAA